CTGAAACTAAATTCTTGATGAAACTTCCTGTTTTTCTCGTTTATGATATTGTTTCATTTGATGCATTAATAATTCTTTACGTTCAGCCTTTTTTCCCAAATGTGCTCAGCAAATTTCTGAAATATTTTATTTGATATAAATAATTTTACAATGATATTCCTTTAAAAAAAATAAATTATATGATTTACACGTTAAATAATTCATATTACGTAATAATTTTTTTTAAATTTTTATCTATTACTATAATCATTGGGAAAATACATAATTCGAAATAATATAATTATGTAATTCACTATTAAATACTAAATTATTAATAAACAAATTGTAATTTTAATTACGTTATAATAAAAAAAACCTATTGTAAACTTTGATGACATCCACCTGTAACCTGTAATAACAATCTGAGACCAAAGCCAGAGGGAGGTAACACTGCTGGCGAAAAATCCGATAGGTAATTTTTTAATTGCAGCTCCAAGTTTTAGATTGTATAGTAACTTGTATGGATGCAGTATAATCAGGGTATACAGTGACCCATCCAATGTTTTGATAATAGAAAAGTATTTCATTTTATGTAATTTAAATTACACGAGAAAAAAAATCGCAGTAGTATAAAAAGAATTGTTTCCAGGTATGTCTATAAATGATTATGTTTCAGAAAATATTATACCAATAGAAAAAAGCTAATCTTTATCCGCGACACAAATGGCGGGCACATGTGTTTTACCATTGTCTTTACGGTCGCATATATTTTTTAACATTGTTCTTTATCAAAGTTTTATCAACTATTAAACAAAACTTAATTTAACTCGTGTCAAATTAGGGATCACAGAAATATACGTTCGGTTTATTTGTTTTTCCCGCTACATTATAAATAGACCGTGATCAAGCTTCATTAAAAAATCAACAAGAAAAAAAAATAAAAAATAATTCTTTTCCAAATTAAAAATTATTTAAAAATGAATCTCAAACAACACTTACACACTAATTTCACTTTTTCTAAATAAAAATTATCGTACTACCATATATCGATGAATTATTGAGCGTTGCTTGATAATTTCTAAACCGGGGTGCGATGATATTTTAATATCCCCTCATCGCACCTTGTAAAAAAACTTTTCTTGTAGTAAATCGTATTTGATTTACTACATTTCTTAAAATTATTCTATTTTCATATAGATTATAATATTTCTAAAATCTATTAAATTATTTCCACGATACATTTCTTTAAAATTATTCTATTTCTACAATAATATTTCTAAAATTATTTTATTATCTCATTTGAGATGAAAATTTTATTTATTCAATTCAAAAATAAAAATTTATTTTTCACATTTCTCCCATATAATTACACGATTCTAAACCTAAATTATTTTAACCCTAAAAAAATTTATCCCGTGTCTGAGTTTCTTCGGAATTTAAAACTAGAATACCGTTGATCGTATTCAATACTTTATGGCATAATATTATTGGTTAAATAAAATAAATCGTAGTTAATCGGTTAATCGAATTCTTAAAATATAAAATGTAGTCAGAATTCATATTCTTCTTTGTTTTAAAATATTCTATGTATTTCAGAGTCAACCCTGTCATATTATTAGTTCATTTGTCGTTGTACGATCTGCATCATTTGTCAAAGTTATTGTACAAAAAACACAAAAAACTGAATTCAGGAACAATGAATAAACATATAAAAAATTTAATTGATTAGGAACATAATTATTTATCTTATTTTATTGTTCCCTTTCTAAATTTTCGTTTCATTTTTTTATTTGTGTAAAACAGTTATTACTAAAGGCATAAAAATTATTAAGTTTAATTTGATAGTGCGATAAGAAATCTATTTTTAGTAAATATTTACTGTAAATCACATCAGTCTTTCAAAGGTCTATTGTTCCATTAATCTTTATTGGTTCACCGTGAATATTCTATTTCGACTCAGAGAAGAATCAACTCAGAAGAATCAACTCAACTCAGGTTTTTTGCCGTCTGAATAACCGATAGGTTGAAAATACGGACCGCGTCGCTTATTACACAGCATCCACATTTTCCGTTATCATTTATAATCTATGGCATTGTTCTCAACCAATAGTTTATTTATTGATTTATGGCTAAAAATGGTTTAATTAGGGATCTAGGTTTCTCAATTGTTTACTTTATTCTTTAATCTTTAATCCATATTGTAATACAAAGAGATTGCGAAGTAAAATTGGAGAGAAAAATTGTTTCACAACCTTGTTAGAGGCTTTTCTGCTTCTGAGAAAATAAAAAGCTGACCATATGATAATGTCAATGCGTGAATAGCAACAAGAAATAAAAAAGGCTAACGTTCCGGATAATAAATTTAAATTTAAATCCACCATTTATATAGTAGTTAGTAGTGGCGCAACAATTACGATAATTAGATAACGGCTCTATCCTGTTCTATCCAGATCGAAATACTATAATATGGACTCAATTTATTTTTTATTAAAATTGGTGCATAATTACTAATTTATGATCTAAATCTGTTGAATTTTTTATTAATATTATTTTTTACGTTAAGTACTATACTTCGTTTTTTTACTTTTATTTTCATTTTTATTTTTAGATTCCACGTGATTACGTAGTCCTATTATATATATACTGACGGTTATCTCTTATGAAAAATATGGGTTTATTTTTGCAAATTATAAAACTGATACTATTATAATGTGAAAGTATTATAATAAACTATATACTATATCATCATTAATATTTATTTTGATAATATTAAGGTAATTATAAAAATTAATTCATCCTTTTTTTTATTAGGGATGATAAAGGAAATTTTAATCTAATAAATAAAGGAAAACATTATTTGCAAAGTCCATTTGATTATCTTTTCATATTTCCTATAATTATGGTATTATAATATATAGTATTATAATTGCAAATTTAACAGATATCAATATAAAATCAGAACCTAATGAATACATTAATTATTTAAATTTACATCTAAAATTTATATATTTTTATTAAACCTAAAATAAATAAGTTATTATAAAGTTTAACTAAATGGACGGAGTCTTGTATTTACCAGTATTTAATAAGTATTAAAAATTTGCATTTATTAACTGTTAAGTAATAAAAAAATTAATACTTAAATACTGCAATATTTTATTATTTATTAAATAGTTAATTTTTTAAGCATTTTTTTAATACTTTAATTTAATACTTATAGGCACTTTTTTAACACATCTTGTATTTAATAAGTGTTATTTATAAATATTTAATAAATGCTTTGATAAACATTATGATAATAAAATAAATACTTTATAGATTTTAAGTATAAATTTAGTTTTGTTATATGATATATATTATATAATAAAAATAAATAGTTAACAGATTAATAAATAACAGGATAAAATAAAATAACAACAATTCATTTTTAGATTTACTAAAACAAATTTAGATTTTTAAATTTAATTTGTAATAATAGGATACTGATACAATTCACATTTAAGTTTAATTAGAATATATATTAAAATTTTTCAAAAGTTGTGTATTATAGGGGTGTTTTCAAAATTTTATTATCCTATATACCTTTATTTTAATACAACTAGTGATTTGATTTTAATAAATTTATATTATTGGATTCATCTTGATGAAAGGATTTTAATGATAGTAAATCACTTTTCTAGCTTCAATATTAACAGAATTATGTTATAAAATATATTTTTACTTTGATACTTAAAGTTTATTTGTAAATTATATTAGTATTATTTGGGTTCTATAGTAATATTAGTAGACCAGTTCATTTTTAATTGTTTGAGAATTAATACAAATATGATGCACCAATTTTTAATTTAATTAACTTATTTTGATTATAAAAAATTTTTTTTCTTCAAAAAATGACATATTAATAAACTATTAAAAATTTATTAATAAATTTTTTTATTAAATCAAGTCAAGTTTTTGATGATTCTGATAATAAATCAAATAATTATAATTCTAAAGAAGAACTATTTAATGCTAAAAATAATGAAATAATTTTTCTTGAATTATGTATTTTACTAGATTTTATCTCATTATTTAAAGTTACATTTTCAAAGTAATATTGCTAAATCTAAAGAGTAATAGTACTTAATTGTTTCTAAATATGATAATATTAGATTTAAAAAAATTATGAGAATGGATTCTCAAAACTTTTAAAATCTTATAACTAATATTGAAACATATTTAATTTTTCAATCAACTGGTAATAAATAGTAAACTTCAGTTGAATTACAACTAGCTATTTTTTTATAAAGAATTAGTAAAGAATGAAATTTTTAGTATATATTTACACATGTTATGGTATATCAAAAAGTACTGTTTTCTCTATTGTAAGAAAGTCATGTTAGCTATTCTTTCATTAAAAAATTTATTAGTTATATGGCCAACAGAATAAATAAAAAAGATGGTTTGTTTAGGCTTTAAAGATATTGGAGGATTTGGCAATATTATTGGTACTATTGATGGTAATCATATAATCTTACTATTAAAACAACCTGAAATATATTGGAATCAAGGTATTGTTAATTATCATAGTATTTTTATTTATTATAAAATAGGATAGCCAGAATTAGTTCATAATGTAAAGATATATCAAAATTCATTTTTTTTTATCAAAATGTTTTTACATTTATAAAAAAGAATAGGATTATTTATTAGGAGACTTAGCATATTTATTATCTAATTTTCTTATTAAACCTTTTACTAATACTCAAAATAATTTACAAATACAATTTAATATTACATTATGTAGTAGTGAAAAATGCTTTTGGTAGACTTAAAAATAGATTTGGTTGTTTAAAAGAATTAAATATTAGAAAAATATCAACTGCAGTTTGTTTAACTGAATGTTGTATAATTTTACATAATTTTTTGGAATCAAATAATGATAATTGTAATGATAATGATAATAGTAATAATAGTAATGATAATAATAATAGTAATAACAGTGATGATAGTGATTATGATAATGATTATAATTATATATTAAAAAGAGCAGGAGAAATGAAAAAGATTTTATTATATTATAAAACTAAAAACTAACATATTACATTAATCTCTAATCCCTTCCCCTTTAAATCAAATTCCATTTTCATTCTTACCTTTTACGCTCTCTTTTATATGCCAATCTTTCTTGTTAACTCATAACTTTTATCTAATTTTTCCTTTCTAACATCATTTTCTGCTCCCAAATTTTTTCACGTGTTTGATTCATTTCAGTTATTGCTTCAGTCATAACTTCATAATTATTTTTGTTCTTTTGTTTTTTATTATTTACCTTTTTAGTTTCGATAATATCTGTTGACTTATTATTATTAGCCAAAAATGAAGGTGATATATTTTCACGTGTTTCAAAAATTATATCTAGCATATCATACCATTCCCAATCTTTACGTTCCACTTCAGATTGATTATTATACTTCTTCACACTTTCGTATTTTCTTATTAAGTGTGCAATTTTATCTTGAATAAATAATTAAAAGATTAATTAAAAGAATTAAGATATTTGCTTAAAATAAAAAACTTACTTTTTATTGCAATTGCATCTTTATTTGGTAAAATATTCTTTACCATATTATTATAAAATTTAGTTTTATTTCCTTTAGACCAAGATGTGAAATTTTCTTGAAGATAATCAAGTAAAATCTCAATTTCACTATTCTTCCAACCAGATTTTTCGATAGGTTCTTGATCTTTGTCATCGTCATCTTTTTTCTTAGATTGTTTAGAAATACTTGTCTTTTTAGGTTGAGAAATTTTATCATCATTTCTAATCTAAAATAAAATTCAATAAATATTTATATTCACAGTTAAAATATGCATTACAAAACTTACCATTAAAGTGGAAGACAAATGAGGTATTTGATATTGCTCTTGAAAAGGAGGATGTTGAGAAGGAAAGATACGTTGCTTTTGCTTTTGAAGCTGACTTTGCTGCTGGTGCTGCTGAGGAGGTTCAGAAAGAACACTTTGCTGTTGCTGTTGAGGTTGAAGAATGATATTTTGTGGTTGTGGTTCAGTAAGAACTGGTTTAGGTAAAATTAAACGCGGTTTTCGTGAAACTAAACGCGTTTTCTTTTGAGCTTCAGCTCCATAAGAAGAAGCAGAAGAGTTAGGACGTTTAGTTGAAGTTTTTCCGTTAAATTGTAATTGATTCATGTTCTTTTAAAACTTTGTTAAAATCGTATTTTTTTCGTGTTGTTTTTTTTCGTGTTTTTTACGCAGTCGGGTACTCATAAAAATTTGATCAACCTTTTTTAAGTTCGGAATTCGGATCGTTGATCAACTCGTTGATCAGGTCACGCAATTTGTCAGCCAATAATTATCAACAATTATCAACTCAAAACCCGATCAAAAATCCGAACGATCAGAAATGAACTGGTCTAGTGACACTCAGTGAATAAAATTCAATAAATGTCACGTGTAATTTGCGGAAAACAAAATTGATCCCGCAATTATTTTCAAACATATTTTGCACAAATTTTTTATTTGTAATTTGTATTATTTGCTCATTAAATTCATGTTTAATAAATTTATAACTCAAATTACCAAATTTACAGCAATATTAATAACCTAATTTAAACTGAGGTAATTGTGCTCAATGATTATATGCCGCTTCAAAATCAAATAAATCTAATGACGGTCCATTAATTAAAATATTTAGATAAAAATGAAGTGTTTCCAATTTCATCTTATTCTGTAACTTATTTTTAATTAAATTTTGACGTGAAAAAACTCTTTCTATTGAAGCATTGGAAAGTGGAATTATTAAAATAATATGAATAATTTTTGAGGTATTAGGATATAAAGAAGAAAATTTGTTGTTGAAAAAATTCTAAACCATTGTTCAACAAATTTGAACTCTCTAAAATTAGTTATAAACTGTCGTACAAACACCCATTCCTTTTCTAATTCTTTTTTATCAATTATTGGTTCGTAAACATTACCTGATTACCATCTTCATCAACTTTTTGGCTACCATAAAATTCACTGATAATTTTAATCTCTTTTTCGCCATACTGATTAATTAAAGCTTGAGTTAAAGGTAATTGTTGTGCATCAAAAATCCGCATTGAATGATAAAATTCAGAATTGGGAAATCTTTTTTTTAATATTCTGAATCATAGATAAGGAAAATTGTGAATGAAATATTTTGTGCGATTTGCGCACAGATCATAGTCACGTGCATTTTGTGAAAATCTTGTATCATACACTGGTGACACTTAAAGGAATACAAATCTAAAGTTATCTATAACCTGACCTATCAAAGATCGATACTTAATTACCGTATAACGGGGGCCACAGTACCCCGGGTATGATACAGATTTCAGAGGTTTTGACCTTATACCCCCCACCATTGTGTGAGTTTTTATTATTAGTAGATATGTATAAAACTTATATAATAATTGGGTATTTATCATGAGTAATACCTAGGTATTTATTAAATTATTTTAAATAATAAAATCGGTAGAAAATGGGAGTTCTTTTTTGTAGGGTACTGTGCATAGGGGGGGTACTGTGGCCCGCAAAATACGGTAGTAACATTAAAACGTGTTAAATCAACTAACATGATTGACTCATTCAAGCGTCAACTAAAAAATTGAGTTTACGACTCGCGTAATGAACAATGGTCCACAGAACTTATATTTAATAGAAATCTTGATAAATACGATGACAGCAAAATTCGTGTTCCTTTTATGGAATCACAAAGGTTGACATTGATGAATACCAAAACTTATTTGGTCGTCTTTTAACATCATCCAATTCTAATTATTATGGTAACGAAAAGAAATATGTCAATAATAGACTATCACAAAGTTGGACTTGTATTAAAACACAAATTATTTAATAAATTTAATAAATGTTTAAATTTTGTATTTACTGAATGCTTATTGTAAAAGATTACAAATTATTAAAATACTTATTTATTAAAAATATCACGTGATATTATAGACTAACAAATCGATAATCTTTTTTTACAAATTTTTTTCTTTACCTTTTCCACTCTTTCATTTTTTCCTTTCCTCTCTCTCACTTTTCCCATTTTCCTTCCCTTCGTTCTCTTCCTTTCACAGTTTCACTCTCTCCATTTCCATTTCCTTCGTTCTTTCTTCTTTTCCCTCTTCTGTTTAAAAGAAAAGTTAAAATCACCCACAAAAAAAACCAAAAATCCTTTTTTAGACGGTTATTTTAGTCTCCCTGGACACGACATTTTGGTAAACTATTTTTTTTTCTTTAATTATATTTATTTTAACGAGCTAGTTTCTAATGACTCGTTTTCTTACTTTTTTTTAGACGGTTTCTTGGTTTCTTTTGACGCGCGAATTTTTGGTACATTTTTTTTTTGTTTTCTTTAATTTAGCTACTTTGGCGAACTGTTATTAACAGTTCACTTTTTTTTCTTTTTTAGGGCTCTTCAAAAATAAAATAAATTGATGATGGCTTGGAATTTGGTAAGTCTTAATTTTTTTTTTATACTAATTTTTTTATTTTTAACGAACTATACTAACAGTTCGTTTCTTTTTCTTTTTTAGGCAGATCTTTCAGGTTTCCGGGGGTTGGACATTAGTAGACGGCTTAGACCTTCGAGTACTTGAATGAATGGAAATTTGGTAGGAGAGGGGGCCATTTTTATTATTCTTTAATGAAACATTTACTAATGTTTCGTCTTCTTTCTCTTTTTAGATGGCTTCTTCTTCGGGGTCTTTAAAGCGCGCAGAATTACGGTATTTAAGTTTGATTTCTTAAACTTCTTTACTATAACGAAACGTTAACTTAACGATTTCGTTTTTTATTCTTTTTAGGCAGGTCTTTGGCTCTTTGGACATGACTTTCGGTAAGTAATTTTTTTCTTTTATTTATTTTAACGAAACACTTATTAATGTTTCGTCTTATTTCTTTTTTTTTAGTCGGCTTCTTCAAAACTTCTTTGACACGGATTTGTAAGTTTTTTTCTTCAATTTATTTTATTTTTTTTTTTATTTATTTTAGCGAAACGTTTACTAACGTTTCTTTTTTTAGATTCCGGTAAGAAATCAGAAGAGATTTTTTTAATTTTATTTATCTAACGAACTGTCTCTAACGTTTTGTTATCTTCCTTTTTTAGACGGCTTGTTCTTCGAACCTTGATGGCATGCATTATTTGAATAAAATCATTTCGGTACAATCCGCGACTAAAAAAAAAAGATTATTGATGAAAATCAAGATGGGATTTTTTGTGTTAGTACAAATCAATATTATATTGACAAGTATTTGTTTTAACGAAACGAATGAAATGTTTTCTAACGTTTCGTTCTTTCTTTTTTTTAGACGGTTCTGGACACGTGAGATTTCGGTAATTGTTTTTCTTTAAAAGATTTTTTTTAACAAAACGTTTGTTAACGTTTTGGTTTCTCTTTTTTCTATTTTTTTAGGCGGCCGGTCTATCAGGAATTTTAATAAAGATAAGGATAATAATAAACGTAATAATACAGTTGAAAGTGAAAAACAGGTTCGTCCTACTTCTCGTACTTCATCTAATAGTAATACATCAAAAAAATAGTTAGTTACATTGTTTTTGATGGGGGTTTTTTTTTTATTTTAATGAAACGTTTATTAATGTTTCATTATTATTTTTTTTTAGACAGTTCTTGTATTCTAGATTCTGGTAAGAAATCGGAAAGTTTTATTTATTTAATGAACTATTTCTAACGTTTCGTTATCTCCCTTTTTTAGATGGCTTACTCTTTGGTCTGAACACGTTGGATTTAGGTACTTCAATTCTTCTCTTTTTTTTTTAGACAACCGGTTTATTGGACACGTAGATTTCAGTGAGTATTGGAGTTTTCTCTGATTTATTTCTTTTAATGAAACGTCTTACTAACGTTTTGATTTTTATCTTTTTTTTCTAGATGACCAGATGACCAGGTCTTTGGAAGCGTAGAATTTTGGTAAGAAAAATCCAAAGTATTTTTTTTTTTTGAATATATTTCTTTTAGTGAACTAGTTTTATTAATTTAATTTCATTATCTTTTTTTTATTAGACAACCTGGTCTCCGGATGCATGGAAATCTTTTAATTTTAATAGCAGGAAAGGTCTTTGGAAGTGTTGGAAATTTAATTAGTCGTAATGTAAAAGATATATCATATGTAATATATAACAATATATATAATAAATATAATAATAAAATTGAGTAGTGAAATAATATTAAAATATCAATATTAGAATAGCGTAATATACTATCATTTATTATATAATTAATTTAAGTATTTTAGTTATAAATTATAATGCAAAATTAATACATAATATTATTAATCTGTTAGCAATAAAAAAATAATCCTTATCAAATACAAGCTGCGTTGAAACCCGTTTAATAAGCCTTAAATTAAATATTCTTAAAAGCATTTAATAAATAGTTGGTAAATGCTTAGTTTAACTTCGTGATGGGCGCACCGAATATTTCAAGATTTCACCTTATTCAGAAGAGGGGTATATGATAATAGATTTCAAGCCTAATTTTCAGAAATGTATTGAGTTTTATAATAATATCGTAGCACTTTGAAGAAATGTATATATGATCTGGCTGAATGTGTAAAAGATGTCAAAATCTTAAGTGGAAAAGAATTTCAGAGAATAGTAATTATCAATTATTTACAAAGTATATAGAACAAATGCGGATCTAACATTGACACCTTCAGAATATAATCCAAGCAAAACAAAAAGTAATTAAGAGAATATTGGATAAAGCTAAATATCAACAAAGCAAAAAAACTGACAAAAGTAAGATGGTAATTCATAGTTATTACTTATTATTAAAACAGATGATGCAAATAATGCCAGCAATTAAAAAAGTAAAAAAAGCCAAAATTGTACTTTAATTCTTACTAAAGGTAACTCTACAATAGCTTTTGTAGTTTATCATGACAATTACAGCTTTGTGGAAAACTATTGAATATGAGATGATAAATACATGAATACATATCAAAATAGTATGAATAATGTAGAAATATTCTTTTATAGAAGGCATCTCATGATAGTAATAACTGATCAAAATCTCAGTAGAAGTCATTTAGAGGAATTATCAATTTCTTGAATTATTTCTTTCATTATTACTTAAAATTCGAATATGAGTTGATTATATAACATTTGATGAAATTAAGAATTTGAAACTATAGATTATAATAACTGATTAATCAACAGAGTTGATATTATTTAGTTAAACTGATAATTATATTTATAGGTAATTAAAGGGAAATTTTCTACATATATATTATATATAAGAATGAATCAAAAGTTTTGTTATTGCGAGATAATATATCATTATAGTGATTTCAACTTTTAAGGTACTATTATTGCATGAACTCATAATTTTATTAGTTAAAACAATTTATGAAATAGGTCAATTTGATAATATATTTTTAAATGGTTAAAAATATATAATATTTATTTTTTTTGAATTGAAATGGATGGTATGCATATATATATTACCTAAAAGTCTAAATTAATATTTTACTCTCAAAAATAATATTTTACTCACCTACTATAATGATAATAATCAGATTGTTAAACTTAAATAATATTTACTATTATTTATGATCTCATTAATGGTTTAAATGATAGTTAGTTTTATAATTTTTCACTTTTTTTTTAGTTAAAAAAAAAATATATATATATAATATATTTAGTAAATGAGTAACTTTAGAATATAAAACTCTTTCAAAAGTCCAAGCATTATTCCTTTGATTATTTTCTAAAATTTTTAAAATCAATATATTAACTTCTGAATAAAACAATAATTTTGATTAATTATAATCTACTTTTACTAGTCTTATAAAAATATATATATACTTAAAATGCACAGATTTTATGGTTAAAATATTCTTATATTAAAATATTCTTAAAATATATTAAAATAGTACAAATGATTTATTTAAAATTGAATTTAAAAAATAATAAATAATATTAAATTATATAAAAAATTACTTAATTTTTAAATTGTATATCAATTACATCAATATTAATTTACCAATAATATAACATTGGTATTTATCAATTACATTTTCAGTACAGGATCAATCATTAATTAAATTACATAAATTGGCCTATTTTCATTTGGGTTTAATAACTAATAAAATATAACTTTTTTTAAAATATATTAAAGTAATATGTATAAACTTTCAAATGGCATTAATTTTTTACTTCCTTAAATATTTTAATATATAAGGCTTTTCTATAACTTTTTGACCTTTAAATTGAAATCCTTCTATTAATATAAGTTCTTTCACAAAATTCTTTACATAAAATATTAATTATCAATATAAATGTAGTATTATTGTAAAATTTGATCAAAAGTTTATATATATATAATATTATATTGCTGATAATATAAAAATCCTTTATTAATAATGGTAAATATATTATATGTTTCTTTATAAAATATATTAAAATCATAAAATATTGATACTAATAATTTATTTTTTAGATTTAATTATTTTGTTCTTATTTTTCTTTTATTAATTCATCATTAAGGGTTCATATTTGTATCCATTTTATTACACTGACATTGTCTATTCCATATATAATTATTTTCTACATTCCAATTATTTAATTATTGAATAGTATTATTAATATTTCTTTTGTTTGTATTATTCACTAGTAGTTCTAAAAATGATAATTCTTTATATGAGTTATTCTTTTGGTAAGGATTTTTTGAATTGGGTTTGAAGGAGAATGAATAACTTGTATATTAAAAAGATTCTAAATTTCTGTATACATTAGCTACACTAGTACAAGGAACTTATAATTACAACAACTAATGTCCAAGAATGTTGATTACATTGCTTATCACAAGTATAAAAGTCATTTTTTTTTTAATAATCTATATATGATGCTTTATTGATAAATATAAAAAGTCTTATTGATATTACAAAAAAACATTTCCTATTACTAATAAAATTCAAAGGAGAATTATTGGTTATTTTTGCATTTTTCACATGTAATTTAGTTTGATTGTACATTTGATATGAATAACAAACTTCTAATGAAATCACCTTATATATTAATTAAAAATATCAAAAAAGAAAATATTAATCTTAATTTAATCTAACTTTCACCAAATGAATCAACTGAAATTCCACTTCTTCAATTAATAAATAAACTAAATTTCTATTCATTCCTTTCACTAAATTTATTACTAATGTTCTGATATCAGATTCTTCTCCTGTGCATGAACATTCAAATTCATTTAGGAAAGTACCATAATTTTCAAAGAACTCCTTAAAAACATCTATATCTACTTTCCAGTACCTTACTCTCAACTTTCTAAGATTTCTTGGGCTAATATTGTTAAGGTAAAGAATATTTTTATTAACAAAATATTGCCATTTACATTTGTTTCCAAAATCGACAACCTTTAGACTACGACACCTTTTAAGAACTTTACTAAAAATTTCTAATTCGGGTTCATCTTGTATATCCACAGATAATGTTACAAGGTTTGAACAATATTTTTTAGAAATTTTTAAAAGAAATCCAATTTGATCACCAGAAATTGATGATAATCGAATGTTCATAATTTTCTTTCCGTTATGAATAAGAAAAGGTATGATAGGTGATGATAAATCATCCGATGAAAAAACATTACAGTTAATAATTTCCAAGTCTAAAAGATTAGGAAAAACAACTTTACTTAAATTCTGACTTTTATATAAATTTGAATCACAAAAACAGATCCTTCTTAAATTAGGACATTTTAATAAATTTTCTAACATATAATCCAAATTGCCTTCAAATAATTTAATTTCCAGTAAAGTTTTCGTTCTTACTTTCCTTATATACTTAGGAGTAACCAAATTATTTGGTTTTACATTTAATTTTTTTATTTTTTTTTGATCTTTAAGGAACTTTGACACTTGACTCGTCTTCAAATCTTGATCAAAATCATCTGAAAGAGATATAGAAAAGGTTGAAATTTCATGTGAGATTTCCGTAATAAGACTTATCAAATCTCTTTTTAAGAAATTTCCCTTGCATTTAAATTGTTTAAGTCTTGATAAGCTCCTTCGTGTTTTTTCAGTATTGATTAGAGTATATAGATATGATACCGGAAATTCGTGTTCGAATGATATAATTCGAAGGGTATCAATTCCTTGGGTTTTTGTCATAATTAATTTAAATAAGACCTCAAAAAATATCAAATTTTCAATTTTAAATTGAAATCCATCGCTGTGTTTACTATAATCGTAAGATAGCAAACCACTATTCTCATTATTATAATCAATTTCTTGATTTATCGAATGAGAAGAAAATTTGGTTTGATCTAACCAAGAGTGTATTAAATTACATAGTATCACGAAATCAATTTGTCTGATAAAGGAAGGGTAATTAAAAGTTGTTCGACGTGGAATACCAAATGAATCTTTTACTTTTAAGAAGGATTGTGTTTTATCGTCTAAGTGAGATAAAAGAATTGTGATAATTTTTGAGTAAACTTTGAAGCGCGCTTTACTATTTATTTTAATGAATGGATTTTTCCAAAGATGAAGTATCCCAATTAGACACCATTCTCTATTGATCAAAGAAACGTTTAGTAATATTGATGAATCGGATTTGTCAATATGACTTATAATTATATCAATAACTTCTACCGGTAAGTAAGAAGGCATAATGATAAAAATTTGGTGTGGAAATTTGGGGTAAAAAAAAAAATGGTTTATATAAATTATTTGTTATCGTATTATGATAAATGGTTATTGTATATTATAAATGGAAATAAAATATTACTTGCAACAAAAACTTTGGTTATTGTCTTTGTTATCATGGTAATCATCGAACGAGTTAAAACCGGATGGGATCAGCCTTAAAAATGATAATCTGATCAACGTTTGAACGCCACCTCTTTTTGATTTCTTTTTTTTAAAAAAAATTATTATTTATTTTTAAAACAAATATATTTTTTGTGAAACAATTGTAAAATATGAACTATATTTATTAGTATCTGTTTAACCGCAGTTAATATCCGGGTTAAAAACGGATTTTAATCCGGCAAAGAAATTGTTCAACGAATATGATCCGTACAGATCGGGTGTTTTACCATTAATATCAGTTATAAATAGCGAAAATTAATTTAGAGTTATGGTAGTGGGCACATTATTATCTCAATTGTAGTCTAGGATTGTTTAAAAAAACAGGAATCAGGTGATAAATGGTAAACCAAGCATCTTGGTTTGTTTTCGGTGCGAAATAAGTCTGCACGTTCTAAAGTTGATAAAAAACGTTCAAGAACATTAGTTCAAAAGGCTCCTAACGTATCACACATTTCATCTTTAAATAACTTATAAACAAAACTTATTAAAAGGACAAAGACGGGAATTTTTTCCAAATACCTGAAAAAGTAATTTGAAAGATCATCTAAAAATCTTGGGATCGAGAAAGAATCTATTTGGCTTTTTCTGTCATCCAAAAATTAATTCAACCATTTTCCTGTCATCATAGATATTGGATGTGGGGTAATTTATTCACTACCATTCCGAGATGTTTTTCATTCTTATCTTCTTTGATCTATTAGATAAATGATACAAAATTTTGGTTATTATAACAATAATATGCATTTTCCTTCTTATGATTGGAGACTCTCGTTCTATAATCGTAGGTTAGAGATCAATGGCTTTCTAAGCTCTCGAACTTCAAAAAAAAAGTCGATGGAAGGAAAAATGCATTCAATGAGTCGGTCATTATTTTATTTCTTTATTTATTATTGATGCAAACCCCTCATCAGATTGTATTAATTTAGGCAATAATACTTCAAATATCTGTTAGGGAAAATGGAAGAGAAAATGGAATTTCTCACGGCTTTAGTTACATCGAAATGATGTTCTAAACTACAAACACACAGTGACACAGCGGATACACTTTAGTTGTATGTCTCTAAAAGATTCTAAGTTGCTGTTGCGCATTCAACTTCTAACCAGAATTAGATATGACTTTGTCCTTATGAAACCATGTAAGAGGGTACTCTTCTTAATTACAAGATCGCCGCACTCACTGCGCTCGAAAGGTTACCAGATGAGCATGATTTGCTACTCGGCACATCCGTAAAAATATTTCAATCAAACTGATAATCTCATTACAATTTCTCGTAAGGGCAAAAGGTAGAGTTTTGTATCACTATTTATGGTTTGCTGAGAATTGTTCAACTACCTTATTTTATTAATACAGAAGGAAAAAAAACAAATAGAACAATGGTAAAGAAATATGGCAATATTTTTAGAGATTACACTACCGAAATTCAGAAGTTAGAAACGTGGGATTAAAAGCTATTGGAAATTGGGGAAGCGACCAAAAGAAAGAAGAGGAGATTAAAAATCAATTGAAAAAGGGGTCTTTACGTTTGATAAATCGGCCAAAAACGCAATCATATAGGAGCTTAATAGGAATATGGATTAGATATTGAACATATGAAAGACTGATGGAATAACATTTAGCAACAAACACAAAAGAATTGAGAATAACTTATAAGCAAAGAATCAGAAGAGGAGAGCGTGGTAGAATAGTAGAATAGGCCTATATCGCGATGGGTTTGATTGATTATTATTAGTTTTGCAAGTAACAAGAGAATTTTGATTGATTGATGTTCTTGATTTAATATTATTTCATTTCTAATAAAAAAAGGTAATTGTTTTAATTATTTTAATTATAACGGTAAATAAAAAATTTACATTTGTACTTACTCGTCAAACAAATTCTCCCGAATCCGTTGTAAACTTGTAATAAATATACAACTTTATAAAATTATTATATATTTGGTTTCGAATTTTTATTGTTTATATCACTGCCGAACATTAAGTAAATTTAATAGAATTTAATTATATCCAAGAAATCAAGGCTAGTCACCTGCGGCTTCTTTTATCAGCTCAAATCCTGAGTATGCCTACAACCATAACTGTAGCAGTTGTTACAGCAAGAATCAGTACTACTGCGTAACTGCTTCACTAGATTCACGATTATGTATACCAAATAATCTATAATAAATAATAAATAATAAATAATTAAAGCTAAAGTTTCTACATCAATCCCTTCAATATATATATAATTTGAATGTTGCTACAGTAACAAATCTGATAACATAATTGAAAAATCATGAGCCACTAACTCGTGATTTGTGTCTAAATTGTTTTCGTTTAACGAACTCCAACGCACTAGGTACATTGCCTAATTATGCTGGTCCTAATCACTTGTCATAATTGAGCTTGTAAGTGAATGTTCATGAAAGAGCAGGACAATGGCTTGATTTTCTCAATAATCTTATTCTAACCATATTATCAAGATTTTATTAATAAAAATCAAGTGTGTTGGATACAACGTTTGAAACAATTTGAACCCGTTTAGCTCTCTTTAATTATTTAATTTCGGCTGTTTAGATCTCATCTTATGACGTTTTTCGGTGATAAATATTTCTTGATGGAAGACACGGTATTGCTGCTGATCTTATAAATTAAGTATGTAATATATTTAAATCATATAATTATATATCTAACTACAAGCCAACCACAATTAATCTCTTCATAACTTCAAATGGCAAAACCATAAATGACTTAAAGCTGTACTCTATCAACAGCCTTCACAAATTCTGTGTGATGACGTTGATGATATAATTGTCAATATATCCTACACAACCACTATAGGATGTTTAAACAGTGTTGGCTGTTCAGCTGTAATCCTTCCTAAAAATCATTAAAGTCTTTTTTAATATATTTGATCTTTATTCAACATCACTTTTAATAAAAAAAATATATATATTAATAATATCAAGAAAATTGATGATAATATTTTTCATGAAATTATACCTTCTTTATTATACTAACAAGTGTACTAAAATAACAATAGAAAGTCTCGATTAATTTGACCAAATTTTTTTTATCGTATCATCACTATTGTATTAATAAATTTAATTGATTTTGCGTATTAATAAAATAGATCAAGCATCAAACCCGCGTGAAATTGCTTCTACCGTTCATACCCAGTGATGAATCTTTAACAATATGACATCGTCAATTTCCGTCAATTATCATTTATTATATCTCATAACTTGGGTTTCTTATGAATCTTCTTTGTATATTTTTTTTTCTACATTAGAACATTTTGTCATTATGCCTTCACTAGTCAATACACCAATTCCTTTTTCTTTTAGTTTGTTGTGTCGCAATCAATATCTAAGTGATCGAACGAGAGACGAAATTGATTCATTATCTGCTAGGGACGCTGCCAATGATAAATATATTAATTACAATTAATTCGATATACTTGAACTCTGAATTTTTTTTAAAAACATTAATATAAAATTCTTATCATTTAGACTTTCTAAATTTTTTGCTTTTCTTTTAAAAGCCCATTCACTTGATAATGCATGTCGAACTGAACACGTTAACAAAGTAGTAAATCCAATGTATTAAGCCGAAATTTTGAATGAAATCTTAGAAGGAAGCAACACCAATATTACAGCTTACAGTTATGATAATGTATCATATGCGTTATATATCAACAATGACACTCACTAGGTTTGTTGTTTTTATTTTAAAATAGCTTCCTTTCTTTTAATTTATAGATTTACTTTTTCAAAACCTATTGAGATGATCTTTTTATTTATTTTTATTTTCAACGTGAACTAAGTTACAGTACAATTACATAGAAACTATATACTAGAGTCGAACAAACTGTAAACCAAACCGCGGGTGCACCTTGAGGGTGAACCAACTTTTGATTATCTTTTTCTATATCACGCATGGTTACTAATAATCTCTACATGATCTGCTTTTAGATCTTAACAAATAATGCGATCTTAACAAATAATGCAAATAATTAAAAGTGATGCTATTTTTTTATGAAGAAACGTTTTATTATAATATAATATATAGCAGATTTATTCTTTAAATTCTGAGTTTAATATCTAATTCATATTTTTTTTTATTTTTTTTGTTAATATTTGCTTCTATAGATCTTATACAGGTTCGACAAAATTCATGCCAAGTATAGTAAAAAAAAAATCAATTCTCACCATGAGAAAAAAGAATCGGGAGGAAGATGAAGAAAATCGGAGGGAATCCAAAAATAATAATAAGAAATTACTAGAAAAGAATGCAAAGGAAACTAGTAACTAGTGGACGGAATAAAATTAATATGCACTTGAAACAGATAAAAGTACAATTATTCATTTAAAATAAAATCAATTTGTAATGACATCGCGTTAATTCTGGTAAAATAGTTGTCCTTTTCTTTATGAAACATTCTTTTCAACTCTCTTGGTTTTATGGTATATTTATAAGCTCTAGGTAAACTTCTTTCATTTTTTGAACGTTTCATCAATAAATACAGCCAACAAGATCTAGCTTTCAAGAAGACAATGTTCTTTTATGCGCCTTGATATTTGATTCTTTATTTAAAAACTCTTGACCTAACAAAAGTAAAAGAAGTCATTGATCTTTAGTAAATAATTTTTTATCAAATTACCATGAAAGACGACATTTTAAAAGAAAAAGAAGTCATTGACAGTAAATAATTTTTTATCATAAATTACCTTGAAGGACCGTAAGATTTTTATTTTATAGGTGCGCGTTCCGCCCGCCAACATTAGATCTTTTTTTAATTGTGCCTGATCCTCTTTACTATAAGTTGGTTTGATCTGCACTTTGGTTCCGGGTAAGTCCCTTTTCATTCGTAAAATTAAGCTAAGCTGTTCCAATTTTACTTCCGATTTCTTTCTCTCTGATTTTCTCCATCCGATTTTTTTTTCTCAAGAGGACGCGGTGAACGCGAGAAGAGCGCCGATATTTTTTTTTCGTAGACCCGAGCAATTCTAACAAAAGAAAAAGAAGTCATTGATCTTTCAGTAAATAGTCTTTTATCAAATTACCATGAAAGACGACATAAATAATTTTTTATCATAAATTACCTCGTTGCTTTCAGTAACTTTCAAACAAATTTATTATAAACTTATACTCTTCTACTTTATAATCTTATTCTGAAGTCAAATGGTAAATAATAAAGTTGTCAAATTAATAATAATTTCCGGAGAACACAGAAGCGTGTTTGGAAAATGGCGCGCACCAAAACGTTCGCGAGTAGTTGTGAAAAAAAATGTATAGTTGTGCGGGTAGTTGTGAAAAAAAATTTTTTCGAAGTTAGTTTAACCACTGTTTAGACCAAGACCTCTATTTATATACAGTTTCTGAATTAGGATCGTGTTTCGTATTGTACTTTGTTGGAATTATCGTGTTTGTTGTGAAGAATTTGATTCGTAACTGTAAAAGGAAAAGCACGTAACTGACTTAATACGTAACTGACTTTAACCCACGTGTAATACTATAATACTTTGTAACACAAATTGCGCGAAGTCGTGAATTAGTAAAATTCATTAATTCATTAGACGTGACGCGCGTGACGCGTATGCAACTTTTTTTTAACCTTCTGTAAATTTTCCACTTTTTCCACTTTCACTCATAAATTAGTAATTATGTACAACTTTAATAAAAAATTGAGTCTATATTATATAGAATTGTTATCCGGATATCGTAATTGTTGCGCCACTACTATAATGGTGGATTTAAATTTATCGGATTCCCGGGTCACGAAAAATCCATAGAATTTTCAGCCTTTTTTTATTTCTTGTTGCATTGACATTATCATATGATCGGCATTTTATTTTTCTCCGAAGCAGAAAAGCCTTTAACAAGGTAAAAATTCTAAGAATTCTTAGTTGTGAAATAATTTTTCTCCCCAATTTTACTTCGCAATCTTTTTGTATTACAAATAGATTAAAGAATAAATTAAACAATTGAGAATCTAGACCCCTAATCAAACGTCACTAATATATTCTAAGCGAACTTAAATTTCAAAATTCTACGTAATATTACTAATTACAGTACTTAAAAAAAAAAAGATTTTAAATTATATTATTATTATCTCTACCTATCAATGGTAGTGATTTTTGTTATCATGAAAAAATAATAATTATTGGTTAAATAAATAAATCGTGGTTAATATTTTTCTTTGTTTTAAAATATTCTCTTTTTATTTTTGTCCTACAATTCTTGTAATATATTTCAGGAAATGTTAAGTCAACCGAGCCGTCATATTATTAGTTCATTTGTCGTTGTACGATCTGCATCAAAATTATTGTACAAAAACTGAATTCAGGAACAATGAATACATATAAAAAACTTAATTGATGATTATTTATCTTATTTTATATAACAGGGTATGCTGTACTATGCTCCCTTTCTAAATTTTCGTTTCATTTTTTTATTTGTGCAAAACCTTGGATAATTAGTTATTACCCAAAGGCATAAGTTCTTATTTTTAGTAAATATTTACTGTATATCATCAGTCTTTTCAAAAAGAAAAGAGGTCTATTGTTCCATTTTGAAACATTAATTTTTCATCCCGTAAATATTCTATTTCGTCTGAAGAATCAACTCAGATTTTTGCGTCGCTTATTACGGTACACACCATCCCTATTTTCCTATTATAGTCTTTTAAAAAATTAAAACGGCTTGATTGTTCTCAACCAGTTTATTTATTTGATTTATGATTGGAAATGCATACGACACACAAACACGCCATAATCGCCATATCATTAAATTTTTTCGAAAGTATTTGAAGAAATGTTCTTGTAATTTCTTACGCCACAACTTTTGAATTCTAATTCTTACACATCTATTTTTATTAGTTGGATTTTTTTATTTTCTAAAAGGTTGTTGCAAAGGTCGAAACTATTTTGATAAGAATTAATTTTTACATTTATATTTTTCGCATTGACTATTGAGGGTAAATGGAGGTATTGTTGCTACAAAATTTCGACGATTTGGTTTGCATTTTCAGGTTTTAACGTAAATAAGGAATGTTAGTTTTGAGTATGTCATGATGAAATTATATTTAAAATTTTTCGTGTAGGATAATCATCAGCTTGATTTTTTAATATTATAAGATGGCGCAGCAGATATTGTACCTAAATTAATAATTTTTAGAGATTTCGTGATTAAGATAATGGCACAGCAATGGATAAGAACTTCACATTTCATTACATTTTATAATAAAATCATATTAATATTTTATTTGATTGAAAATTTATTTTTACATATAAAAAAGCGTTTTTGTTTAATCTTATTTTTGGATAAAATTTTTAAAAGTGAAACGAAAACGGAAAAGAATGAAGCAGATTACTTCGTATACTATAGATTGCAAAAAGATTAAATTAGTTGAGAGTTGTAATTTGGATAAATTCATTTTAATTAATTCATCTTAACTAACCATAATTTTTTTTTTCTTAGGAGCGGGTTTTGAGAACGGGTTTGATGGAGGTTTTGATGGAAGTTTTGATGGAGGTTTTGATGGAGGTTTTGATGGGCGGTTTTGATGGACGATTAGGATGGGCGGTTTTGATGGATAATTAGGATGGTTTTGAAGACGGTAAGGACGGTAAGGACGGTTAGGAAGGTTAGGAAGGTTAGGAAGGTTAGGAGGACGGTTTTGAGGATGGTTTGGGGGAGACGGTTTTGATGGTCTTGAGGGAATGATTTTTTTTTTTTGTTAATGAAATAAAATCATAATTAATATCTTAAATTTTTGTTTAGAATATCTTTTTATATTCTTATTTTTGACCGGGACTGTTATGGTTGCTTTTATATTTAATTTTTAAACCTTGCGCAGCAACATACAAACCATAAAAAGACAAATGAAACGAATAAGGGTACGCATGAAATCGTGGAAAATCGCGGAAATTACGGAAATAAATCATAAATATTATAAATAAAGAAATATCGCGCCATTTCAACATCTTTGTGTAAATTATGAAACGAAACAACTAAAGAAAAACAAATATGAAATCATTTAGCCTGTAATCTAAATTAATCGAAATAATAACGCCTCTATGTTCCTTTCAAAGAAAGATATGCGTGTGTTTAATTTCATACATAATTATTGTTTGGATTATACGGATGGATAACGAAGATACGGAAATAATTAACGTAAAAAAAGTAAAATATTTTGAAGTATACTGTATAATGAATGAATGAATTATCGTAAAATTTATTCAAGGGCATATAAATGAATATAATTTAAATAATAATAAATATATATATATATTGCATATAATAAAAAAAAAAAGATTTCAAAAAATTGCTGGATAACCGATCCAACTTCTACTTAAAACATGAAAATTATCAAGTTGCCTTTTAGTTATTTTTCCGTAAATCAAAAGAAGTGGCTTTATGAGTAGGCGAAACAAATCCGAAATGTTTCATCGCCCGCAGAACAAAAACTCTAATTTGGAAATTGATGTAGTCAATTCTCGAATCGATCTAAATTCGGAGGACTCTGAGTCTCCTGGGTTTAAACCTATTTTTAACCATAATAAAAACCGTTCCGAAGTCCGAACCAAACTGATTTCAAGAACCGACCCATAAAACTTCATTGTAAATTTTTAAAGTCATGCAAAACGTTTTTATTCGTTTAATTTCATTATAATTAAACATATATTTCATAATTACGAATAATAAATAATTTTTTAAATCACTATTACAACTAACAAAAAATACGTCCTCGATGATCATATTATTATGCTGCGCAATTCATTATTTAGTCGCCTAGAACTTTTCCATCTGCGATGCGCTCGGCTAAGTCAGTATCATTGTACTATACATATATAGACTAATTGATAAAGTTGTCTATGATTCACTGAATTAAAATGGGCACCATTAAAATGAACTAGTTTAAATTAAAAAGTTTCATTTTTTCATGTCCAAAACGCTTAATTAAATTAGGTTAAGCCTTTATCGATCAATACTCTTTTGGAATAAAAGAGTGATGGAAAGAAATACCAAAAATATACATTTCAATAAATATTCAAAGTACGCGCATCGAAATTTCGAATCTTAGTAAATTTCACTTTGGAAATGGGGTGGCTAATTATAAACGTAGAGTTATAAAATTATAGAATGTTTAGAACCTTGAATGTTTACATGGGTCATCAATAAATCAGCCGGTCAAGATCTTTATTTAGATCATTTTCAGTCATGTTTCAAATTACTCACAATTTAAAAAATGATACTTCACCAAAACAAGTTTTGAATGATACAAAAAAATATTTACTCAAAATCGGTAAATAAAATTCTAATCCAAATGAAAAAATTAATTTAAAAATTAATAATAGTAATTTACGACGAAAATATAATTATCCAATAGTTTTATGTGCTGTTAAAACAATGCAATAACTTTATAATAGTACAAATGATGTAAGGTTTCACACGGGTGAATAAATTCCCAGCATATCTTACCAATCAACGAGAAATGTAATTCATATGCTAAAGTTGATAAAATCAATTATATGCACCTTTTATCGCATATGATATCATTTTACTAAGAGAGAAGAAAAATGAAAAGATTTTAAAATAAGAAATTCCTAAAATTAAAATTTTTTTTCTTTGTCCCAAGTGTGTAATTACGTACTACCATACTAAGTTTAAAAATTTTACGTTACTATTCCTAATATAGTTATTATATAAATTGTATAAATTACTGTTTTGTTTCAAAATATGAATTCTTTACCTTTTTTTTAATAAGTTCAGAACATATTAGATGGGATCGCTGATGTGACACATTTGTAATAATAATAATAATTATTACTGTATTATAAAGAATTTTTTTGTTTCATATCTGGCAAGTTATTATTCAAATTATGGTAATATTATGGTAATATCCTTGTTGATATCAATTTAGCAAAGTAACAGGTTCAAGTATTAAATATTTATCATGATCTAATCTTTCACGAAATATATTTTAATAATTAATAAAATATTGGAAAGACAATGAAAATGGTCGTCATTGGACAGGAAATGTCGGTGGTTTTAATTCGTTATTCAATTAAACAAGGAATTTGTAGAATATAATCTGCACGTCACGTTCTTTTATTTTACCATGAAATAAAAAATAAATCGTGGTGTTCTTTGGTAAAATATTTTTTTGTCATTGAGAATCTGCTGGTACTCATGTTCACATGCCCTTGTAATTTCATTACTCGTGTATCCATAGTAAAGGAATATCTCCTCATCGGCCTGCCGTAAGAAAATCTTATGTGCTAACCCCTATTTATACTTAAATAAAGAATACAGATATATTAAATATATCGTCGAATTTTATTTATAGATCAATAATAACTGATAATAATAAAAAATAATGGTAAAGTTGGCCATGAGTATGGATTTTCTTCGTATGAACTCCCTTTTTACAATAAAACATTTGCCTGTACTAATATCATGGAAGAAACATTTCAAATATAAACCCGCGTTTATTATCCGATTTAAATCGATTGTTATGTTACATAATTATCTGTAATTGCTATAATAAATATATTGAATACTATATTTGAATAATGTTTTGGTATATATATATATATTGATTAACAATTATTCAAATATAATAAATAATTATGAATATATTTTTATTAAAAATTTACAATATATATATATATATTTTAATTTAATTGCATAAACTTTTAATTTATCTTGATTATGAAAAATTTCATGTATAAATAACGCGTAAAAAGTATCCATCTTGTAAAAAACAAACCAAAAAATTTTTTTACTTCTTAAAAAAAAACAAATAAATTATTATTCTTTATCGAAAGAATTTTTTCAAATTTATAATGCAATCTTCTACTACCAACGACGTCAATTCTTTCGCGCAACCATCAACATCATTAATTAGTAAATCGAATAAATATAGAATGCGACTTTGCGACGCATCTCCGGAATTACTAAAATTGATTAAAGATTCGGAAAAGGAGTATGAAAAGCCTTTATCGAATAAATCTACCTCTTCTAGCGTTGACGTAAATCACTCTAACCTTCTATGTGGAGTTCCCCCTAATAATAAAATTAGAAAAAGCCCTTATTCGAGAAAATCAGGAAATTCTAATCAACTTGATAAGAAAAGCAGAAGGAGATGGTACGAATCAATTGTAACTGATAAAAATCTGCATCTTCTCAATATTTCAATCTATGAATTATGGAAAATGATTGAACTATTAAAACTTGACAAGTCAATACTTAAAAAAATAACCCCAAAAGTCAATTGGAGTTCAGAACCTCGGTCTATAATACAATTCCCGTATTATGACTATTTACATCCTAAAGAAGCTTGCGTAGCTACAACATTAAGGCTTACGCCTTTTCAATACCTTTTAGCAAAATACATACTAATTTCCTCTGCCAGAACGGCTATGGAAAAATCATTACCATTTCGCAGGTGTGATGCACAAAAACTCCTTAGAATAGATGTTAACAAGACAAATAAATTGTGGGAGTGGTTTGTTCAAACCAAATGGATTCAAAATTACGAACATAATTATTAGGGGTTTATTTTTAATTATTATTATGTTATTTTTATTATGTTATTTTATTATCATTATTATTATGTTATTTTAATTATTATTATTACGTTATTTTTATTATTATTGTAAATATTTTATTTTTATTTTTTTATCATTTATTTTTTTTAGAAAATTCATGTCAGAAATTTCGAAATAAAAACTAGTAATGGGTGTTCCAACTTAATCCAAATACAATTGCACGAGTCGATATTCATTTGTCTTTTATGAATAATGTGCGTTTAAATCGATACTTTTGTTTATTTTTTGCTTGAATCAAAACATTGAAATGGATCGATCATACAGTGAATTACTACTACTGTCACGCGGCAACCTTGAGGTTGAATAGCAACTAAAGCAGAATTTGATAAAATTAATATAAAATGAACAAATGATACAAGCATAAAAAAATTAAACATTTTTTTTTTTCGATACATGAATCAAATTATTGCATCAATAAACTTAATTAAAATCTTTTAAGATCAATAGTTAAAGAATTCTTTAATAAATAATTTTTAATAAGAAATTTTGTTGTACTTCGCGACCAGTGAGTTTGTAAGTTGTAGGTAAAGCATTATTAATTAGAAATAATTGTTAAGAGCATATATTATTTGAATAATTTGTTAAGAGTTTATTAATAAATTTAATTATTTACATTACCAAAAAAAAAGAAAAAAAAATTTCTATATAGATTAACTAATACAAGGAATAAATTTACATGCTAAACAAACTTCGCAATGCTGATTTATGATATAAATCAATTCATCTGTATTTCAGTATGATCCACAACCCTTCGGCCCTTCCTTTTTACAAAAGCTTCTTTCAAATTTTCTGCTTTTTCATTTTGATATAGTTGAGCATCTCATCGTGATCGGTCAAGGAAAGTGTAGTAATCGTGAACCAGTTTTAGCATCGTAATATTCAAGATTTGTCATTGAAGAACTTTGAACTTATAATTTGCGAATTTAACCATTAATTTCTTGGTTTCTTCTAGAATGGCTCTCAGCTTTGGAACTTCAAATTTAATTTGTCTTTCTAACTACTTGAAAAACTTCGTAATCTTCTAAAAGAAATTTACTAGTTTCAAGAATTTTTTATCATAACTAGAATCGTATCCTAACTCCATCTTTCAGAAAAATTTTTTATGAGGTGAAACGCCTTTTTCTACTTTAATTAAAGAACGGAGTCAAGCTTTGTATGAAGAAAAAAGCCAACAAACGTCCGGGCTTGATCTATTCTAGAGCAAACCAAGAAATTAACCGGTTCCTGGGTCACATGTACCTCTTACGTTTGCCTCCACGTTATGTACGCCAGTAATCAAGCTTCATTAAGGATTTTCGGTTGCCGGAAACCATCGGGCGTGCGTATATAGTTATCAGGATTATAGAAGTTATCAGCTTCATCAGAATAATCAGAAGAAACTTCTTAAAGTAATTATATCTTTGATTGTCATTGAAGAACTCTGAGCTTATAATTTGCGAATTTAACCGTTAATTTCTTGGTTTCTTCTAGGATGACTCTCAGCTTTGGGACTTTCCAAATTTAATTTGTCTTTCTAACTACTTAAACTTCGTAATCTTCTAAAATAAATCTACTAGTTTCAATAATTTTTCTATTATAACTAGAATACAAATACTTGGTTTCATTACTCCTGCTTCAAAATAATTTTTCAAACCCCTTAAATATAAACCTCCTTAAATATTCAAAGAAAATAGAATTAATTTAAGGACGCGTAAATTCTTTATTCGTTATACGGTATATCGTATATCTTATTTCGACAAAAAATTAACGCCTTTCCATCTTCCAGAAAAATTTTGTAGGTGAAACGCCTTTTTCTGCTTTAATTAAAGAACGGGGTCAAGCTTTGTATGAAGAAAAAAGGTGACAAGTGGAGGCAAACGTAAGAGGTACATGTGACCCAGGAACCCGCTAATTTCTTGGTTTGCTCTAGAATAGATCAAGCCCGGACTTTATGTACGCCAGTAATCAAGCGTACGATAAAATCATCCTCTCTTCATAAGGATTTTCGGTTGCCGGCAACCATCGGGCGTGCGTATATAGTTATCGGGATTATAGAAGTTATCAGCTTCATCAGAATAATCAGAAGAAAAATCCAAATTTCTTAAAGTAATTATATCCTTGGTTGTCATTGAAGAACTCTGAGCTTATAATTTGCGAATTTAACCGTTAATTTCTTGGCGGCTTCTAGAATGACTCTCAGCTTCGGAACTTCATAAATTTAATTTGTCTTTCTAACTACTTGAAAAACTTCGTAATCTTCTAAAAGAAATTTACTAGTTTCAAGAATTTTTTTATTAAAACTAGAATAATATCCTAATTCTACATCTCCATCTTTCAGAAAAATTTTGTATGTGGTGAAACACCTTTTTCTACTTTAATTAAAGAACGGAGTCAAGCTTTGTATGAAGAAAAAAGGCGACAAGCGGAGGCAAACGTAAGAGGTACATGTGACCCAGGAACCCGTTAATTTCTTGGTTTGCTCTAGAATAGATCAAGCCCGCCGGACGTTATGTACGCCAGTAATCAAGCGTGCGACATCGCCACTTACAACTTCGTAAAGCAATTGCCTACTTTACGAATTCTTTTATCCCCGTTTGGACTTCTGAAACGAAGATTGCAAAGGCTGCCTTCTCGAATTCGAGGTCTTTTGTTGCCTGTAGCCATCATCATCTCCCAGGTTGGTCCATTTTGAATGAACTTGGTCAATATTAGGATCAAGTTGTTGGCAGCTTCTTTAACCAACGAATTTGATTTTGCAATTCTGCCTATATGATTTCTTTTTTCAATATAACATCCTAATCTTTTGAATATCCAAATTAACCATATAACAGTAGTAGTCTATTTTCTAAAAAAAAAAAAAATATTAATATACCATAAAAAAAAAGAAATACACTCATAAATTGATTTAAATAATTACATCATCGTCTTCGTAAGTTTGGATTACAACGCTACAAGTATTTACACTAATAGGTAATTTCTTTGATTTTCTAATTTTCTATTCTTCCAGTTTGTAAAAAATGATTCTAATTTTCTTGGATGTACGAAGTCTAATTTTGAATTGTTTTTTTGTGAATAATTGTATAATAATAATTCATGAAAATGTTTTTGGTGAATAATTTGTAGCCATCTCAAATATTGTTTCTTGAATGAAAAAAATAAAAAACCAGGAAACGTGGGAACGAAAATTATCATTATTTAAATGGTTATATTTCTGTTTATTTTGTTTATTTTGTTTATTTATCGTCACGTTCTATAACAAGTTTTGTGGCTGATGAATTTCTTTTTTTAGAAATTTAGTGAGTACATGACATCATCTGCCGGTTAAAAAAAAAAATCGAGATTATCATCTTTTGTAATGAACGAAAAAATAGTCAAAAGTGATTTTTAATTACCCGACATGTGATGCAATGTAGCAAAAAAAAAAAATGGTTCAAGAAATGTTTTATTTTTGTGGTAATTTCAAAGAAAATTAACAGGTTTTTTACGGATGTTTTTTTTTAAATACGAATACGATTATATCACACTATTTATTTCATATCACCTTTGTTGTACAGATTGAACAAATTAACATATGTGATATATTTCTATTATCACTACGAAAAGTTTCATTCCCCTGTAATACCTGTAATACGTGAATACACTAAATACTGCGTATCGGTCATGTGATTTTTATAAACTTCTGAAATGCGCTGATGCGCATGCATCAGAGACCCGGATTCTTTAGGTATATTATTGTGGCTCCACCGGTACTTTGGTTTGATCTGGCTTTGCCTAGGATTCAATTGAATAAGAGGCTTGGCGGTTCCTCTCCAGCTACCTGGGGGATTGGATGAACAGGCATTAGCTTAGTTTTGTTTCGTTATTTTGTATTTCGTACTGCTAGCAGTTGCTTGTAGTCCAGTTCACGAGTCTTATAATAAAAATAAAAAAAAAAATCAGAGACCCGGATTTATTCCGATATTACTGCTGTTTTCATAAGACCTGGGACAAAATAAATTTTTGAACCCGACCGCCGACCCTCCGATCCGGTTCAATTGTTATTTTACAAATCAAACTATCATATCTGGATCACGTGCCAGCTAAAATACTGGATCGGCGGGTCGGCGGTCGGGTTCAAAAATTTATTTTGTCCCAGGTCTTATGAAAACAGCAGTAAATCGCAAATTTTTATCACGATAACGGAAAAAATTCCGATTTTATTCCGATGAAAAATTACCAATTATAGTAAGAAACATCTGATAATTCTAGCTTACATCTTAATGTAGGTTGCGCTAGTGACACGACAATAATTTTAGTCAAAAACGATTGAAATGATCAATAATTTACTAGTTTTTTACAATTTCTATCACGATATATGCAATAATGATTGGCTAGTTGTCACGTGTCGGAATAAAATTGTTAAAAAATCATAAAATCTCCGTTTTATTTCATAATACAGCAAAAATTCCGATTTATTCATATATTATAAAAATGGAATTTTCCCGGGCGGGTCTGACATGCATTAACATGCATCGTAAATCAATCAAATAAGAAAATTCATTACTTTAGATATGATGACTGAAATATTATTTTGACGGAAAGTTATACTTCGATAAAGAGATGAAAAATCGTTTAAGACAATGACACGAAAAAAATTTCACATGTTTGAGTTTTATTGGAGTAAAGACTAGAAAAATGATCATTTATCACCTTATTTAATAATGAATAACAAAAGTTTATCTTTATTTATAATATAAATATAAAAAAAATAAAAAACATATACTGTAAATTAATATAAAAAAAATAAAAAACATATACTGTAAATTAATATAAAAAAAATAAAACATATACTGTAAATTGTAATAATTTATCTATTGAAATACAGGGGAGGGGGTATGATAGTTAAACATTATCATTACTGGTAATTTAATACAGAATGTAAAAAAAAGAAATAACATATACTATTTGGGTTCATACCAAATAAAGTTGACCCATTCATTACTTTGCAATTTAAATATTTCTCTTTCTCGACTCTCGAGGTTCCCAAGCATTATTTCGTAAGTCTATAACATTCTAAAAAAAAAAAATTAATTATTAGCAACATAATATAATAAATATAATACAAAAATATTCAACAAAATTTACCATTAACATAAATTTAATGCGGATTGACAAATTCGGAGATGTTGATAGCTCCTCCATTTGTTCAAAGTATGATTCCATTTTTTGATCACGTTTGTTTGATTTCGTATTTTCCTCTGATTTCGTATTTTCTTCTGATTTCGTATTTTCCTCTGATTCCGTATTTTCCCCTGATTCCTCCTCCTCCTCCTCCGACTCCCATTCATCATCCTCCTCATCATCCTCATCATCATCCTCATCATCCTCATCCTCATCCTCCTCATCCTCCTCCCATTCCTCATCCTCATCCCACTCCCACTCCCACTCCTCCTCCTTCTCCCACTCCCATTCTGATTGGGATTCCGTATTTTGATCTGATTCCTCATGATTGTTTTGTTCGATATGATCAAGTTGTTTTCCTACTATATTCATTAATCTACATAAATTTTCCATTTCTACTTCCTCAGGTAATTCTAAAAATTTCTCAATACATTCATATACGACTTTCTCGGAAATAATATTTAAATTAAATAATTCGCCAATGAAACTAATTAAACCAAGACCTTGTCGTCTAATCTTCGCAGCCGCATAATATTCATTTGACATCAGATCCGGTTCCCCATTTTTATTGAGGGGCAATTCAATGTTAACCTTCCAGGAACCATTCTTAAAATCGTTTTCACAACGACCAATAAGATGCTTTTTAAATAAAATACCGCCTTTAAGAAACTTATTCCTGGATTTTTTGAAGGAAATTATTTTAGGATCGACTCTTTCTATCATCTTAGAGCAAAGCTTAGCATAGTATATTGCACTGAAATTCTGTTCATCATGAGATTCAAATATAAGTCGAACTATTTCCCTAAACATATATCCATCTCTTCTATTGTTAGCATAGAAAATAATTTGATTTGATATAGAATCAAAGTTTTTTAACGTCAATTTATTTAATAACGCTTTGATCTTATATTGCGCTATTCGAAAAGGGATGAAAAATTCAATTTGTCTAGGTATTTCTAGAATTTGCATTTGTTGTGCACCCTGGAATATAGGTTCACTGGGTAAATTATCCGGACTTTGAGGATCTGCTATAGATGATATTACTGGAGTTAGTAATTGTAGATCGATCAAGTACGAATTAAAGTCCAAAAATACCTAAAGTAGAGTATCTCATTCTTTCTTCAAATTGGTCTTTTTGAAGTTGATTCAATATTTGGTCTACTATTGTGAACACGAAATGTTTTTATATTTGAACCAACTTCGACGGTAATATTTTTATAGGGTTCTTCGTTTTTTTTAAAAATGTTGATTAAGTTTTGTAATAAGATTTTTATCTCACTTTTTTTAATGAAAATGAACGGAAGGAAAGGCCCTATAAATAATATTTGTCTGTAACAAGTGCAACGTTTAATTTGTTACTTTTTTTGGTTATCTTTTGTACCCTTCGTATAGGAATAAATCATGTATATCTTTTCATTTTGAAACATTGACTAGAATTATATAATGACAACCTTAAAAATGTTTTTTTCGGCCGTATCTATATTATTTTGCAAAAGTTTATTACTTTATTATACCCACCATTCAATGTTTCAGATATTTATGATACACTTCAGTGTGCAACAAATAGATGAATAAGAATACCCGAATAAAATAAATAAAATTATGAATTATGATTTATGTTAGCAGCGTAGATGCTCCCCTCATTATTTAACGAATAAAGGTTTATACAATCGACTAAATCATAATTAAAAAAAAAAAGCGAATTGGCGTTACGGAAAAGTCTCATGTTTTTTCGTACAATTTTAGGTTAAGGGGGAATAAACATAGTTACTATATTTGTAATCAAGCGACAACTCAGTCTAATTAATTATACAATATAATTAATAAATTAAAGTTGCTTAATATGGTACTATTGAAAATATAGAGTCGCATTTTAAGAATCAAACTTTATACGACTTCGATTTTTTATTCGGCCAATTGGAAATGACGAGATCAAAACCGATGACGGGACTGCGGCAAATATATGAGTATGATAATTGTATCTAATTATGGCACTTTTCAAACATTCTTTTGGGATTATAATATGCATTATAACATAACTACAACTTGTATCATCATTTATCAAAATATACTATCAAACCAATAGAAAAAATTTTTTCAACTTCTTTTTTAAATCTATAATATAAATAAATAATGTATAACACCTCGTTTATTTTATGAATACACCATAAATTATTTGTTCTACGTCCGAGTTTTAATAATAACAGAGAATATTCTTATTGTTCTTAAAAAAAAGATTTATTTTTTATTAATGAACATTGAAACAAGTATCATCATTATTTGTTACTATTGTGCAATTTTATTCTCTTGATTTTTATGTTTCGTCGCCTCTATATTTAGTTCTATAAAAATTCAAGGATTGAAAGATTTTTTTGTTTCGCATATTATTTTCTCTAACTCAAAATGTATAATTCACAATCGGAGAAGTCGGAGAAAAGAATTATTAAATGTTATAACGTAATTGATTATGATTAAGTTTCTTTATTTTAGTTATTTCACAGAATTTTTACAGAAAGTATTATAACAATTTATTATAATAAAATCGGTCAATTATATCAAATTAATTTGTTATCCATTGATACAGAAAAAATATATGCTTTATCAAATCATAAGATGGTATTGAGCACGTTCAGAATTTTTTTTTTTAAAAAAAATTGTACACATGATGGTCGAATAATTTCTACATTAAGGAATTTTTCTATAATCCGAGTTCCCCTGTCTCGGCCGTAATTAGATATTATCTTGCGTCACGTTTCATTTATAAAATAGAAAAGGGAGTTCGATTAAAAAAAAAATATATATTTTTTTTAACCATATACTGTATATGCTTGCTTGTAAAAGAAACTTATTAATAATCAATGTATCAAATCGCTTACATATTTGTTTCAAATATGTGATAATAAGTTGGACTTTGACACATTAATTTGGTATTTTAACAAAGGCAATCAATATTTTCTTACAACATGAGTTTTAAATCTTAATAACAATTTTAAGATATGGTACAATTGTGTGACATTCATTTTATTGATTGAAACAAATAAACCTTAATTTGCTAATAATCAATTACTATATTCGTTTAGTTGAAATTCAAAAAATGATACCTTTTTACGTTTAAGAGATATAAACATAATAAACTTTATTCAATAAAATTATAAATGGAAATAAATATGTGTTATGTGTAATATCCGTTCATATCCGATATACAACAAATGCCCATTGTGTCCTAATTAAAACATGAAGAGGTTTGAGAAATTATTATGTACTGCATGTCCTTACAATATTACAGCAATAAAAAAGTAAAACTATTGTTCCTTTTACAACATTACTATTGTTTTTTTTAAACTTCATTAAAAAAGTTAAAAGTTTGTTGAATCAAATTTAGGAAATTATTTACTGATTTGAGACTATCCCGGTTAAAATTTACGCGAAGGCGCAGTTTCGTGCCATTGAAAATTATGCAATATTATTAATTTTTGGTTTTAATTTTAAGCTTAACAAATAAATGTTCAAATGATCAACTGCACAAGAATTTTATAATTAAGTGATAAAACAAACATAGAGGTTGTAGTGAACATAATTACCATACTCTCGTTATTTGCACGTGATATAACATGCATTTACCGAGCGACTCCGAGACCGGTTTTATATCAAACCGGTTCGAATGCCAGTCCGTAATTTACTAAAAAAGGAATTATTAAAGAGATTATAAACTTGTTTAGAACTTGGAGATCGACTAATGCAATAACCACATATGACTATGTGTAATCTATCGATTTCCCCCTAAAAAAAATTCTTTCTTGCGAAAGATATTTTTGCATTTATTCAATAATTTTTTATGTTTAAAGAGCTATAACTTTACTACCTTTATTATCAACACTATTACAAGCAAGCTAGTTTCCTGCTTTCCACTCAGAAATTCGCAACTATACGGAGAGGCGGGAGAGCTTCGTCCGTTCACGTGCTTAAGAGATTCAGACATCAAAATGTGGAATCTACAAATAATAAGAGTTTTTATTTCATTTTACTTTTACCAGTATTTACAAGTGGCGTTCCCTTGGAAGTGAAAGAAAATATGGGAGGACATTCAAAATTGAAGAGAACGTCCATCACCCGTTGTCCAACTGACGCTTCTTTGTCTTCTATTTTTAACAAAATACAAAAAAAGAACCCTTATAGGAACAATAGAGAGGCGACCTTGATGAAAAGTTAGTTACTTACCATACCATGGAATTATATACAATTTACTACTGATTGTCTTGATAAAGTCATTTATAATTACATTATAATCAAAAAAGAAACAATCAACAATTTATCGATTCAATTTCTTTTTTTTTTTTTTTTTAATAT